AGTGAAGAATATACTTTATTTAAACAAGATGGTACCTAAAAAAATATAACAAAGTGTTTCTTAACAGTCAAAAACTAAGATAAAATCCATGAAACAAGCCAAAGACTCCAGTATATTTGGTTAAAGGTCATTTTAATCATAAAGTAACAAAAGCAAAAAGTCATGGATTCGCCAGACTCAAACAAACCATGTGATAGACATGACTTTGGGATAAGCAGAGGTTTAAAGGACAAGTATTAAACTTTCTAAGAGGCCAGGTGGGTTAAGCTCTTCAGAGAAAGTAATATTTCTACTAAAGTGGACACAAATGTTTAATGAGCATGGTGTCTAATGTCACCAATGAAAATGTAGATAAACTAACTTTACAGCAGTCTAGCAGCCAGTATCCCTGGATTAGGTAGAGTAAAATGAGGCAATCTAATTACGTTTCTGAATTCCAAACTTCCTGTCGCAGAAAACCAGAATACCATGGGAGGTTTAGGACCAATGCGCCCAGTGAAGCATAGACAAAGCTGAGGGGGTCCCTCAGGACCAAAAGGGGCGGGTGGGGGTATTACACAAAGCTCAACATCTCTTGTAAATCAATGAGCAAGAGTTAAACGTCCCTTTTTGTTGTTCATGATTTTTCATCTAAGTCACGACAGTGAGAAGAAGCCACACAAAGATAAAGATGACAAAACTCCCCAACATGTCAACAAGTGGGTCAGCATCAAACCCAGAATGTAACTGTGAGGCAAACTCACTCAAGGGAGAGAAAAAATATTTGGGGTAACATAAACGCAGATGTTACGGTTAGGAGTGGTGATGTATTTCAAAGGGGGCCACACATGCGGAGCACTTTTCCCCAATCAGAGGTAATCTTAGGCAATGGGATTGAGGCAGAAGCTAACTACGAACAGAGAGAGACAGAAAAGGGAGAGTGGAAAAGGAGATGAGCTCAGAGAGCGTGTCGGAAAACGGCCAAAAGTAGACAACATCCAGGATGACAGTAGGTACTACACAGAGATATGCTAACCCACTTCTATGTGTTGCAGCTGTGAAGTTTTTGGGCTTCTTATCTATGTTTTATTGCCATTTAATCTTTTTTTCGGTAAGTGGCTTCCTTTCCCGTTAGAGCCAACTTTTCAACAACTCAGCTTTCGATTAATACATAACTGTGATGGCTTTTTGGAAGACTGCATGCATTTGTAGAACTCCCAAAATCCCTCTGTCTGCATAGTCAAGGACTACACAAATGGGCACTACCATGAGACCATGCATCTTGCATAAAGGCATGGAGGCTGGAGTAGTAACAACAGGCTTGCAGCATGTTTTGATTTTCAAGTCAAGACAACTAAAGACCACCAACCTAACATTCTTCAGATGACACAAATTCCCAGAACGATCCTTTTGAGACCCAACTCTGACACTACAGCGTCTGTACGTTAATGGATATCGATCATCCGGAGGAGTTCTTTGATCCCTCGAAACTGTGAAGGTTCAGCCGACGTCAATATTTGCTCCGACAGAAGTGTGAGGCCAATATGTGTGACTGTGGTTATAGTTAGATCAGAGGCACCTGGTCACTGCTACCGACACTCCGGCACATATCCTATCAACTTGCCTGTTTGGTCTAAAGGCCAAAGTAAGTGGGTGTGTTAATAACCTACTGCTCCTGAATGTCAACAGGATTTGCATGGCTTTTAAACTTTATAGGCTGTGGGCTGGTAAAGGGCATTTCATTGCTTTTCCAGGCCCCTACAGAGAAACCTGATTAAAAAAAAATTTTGAAAAAAATCCCTAAAACCCTTTTTGGCATTCATTAATTATTCAAAGTGTCTGGCAGAGGGTCAGCACTCTACTGAAGGTCTTCTTTCAAGGCCTTTCTCATCATCCGTAAATACTTTGCCCTCCCGTTTCGCCCGCAGCATCTTCTATTCATTTCCTGCGTCCTTCAAGTCGCTCCTGCCGTTTCCTATATTTCTCTAAGCATTTCTTTCAGCTTCCATGCTGGAAAAATCTTCCTTTATCCTGCTCTGACAAGAGGAAGCCCTCCCCATTGGAGGCTAAGGAACAGATCTCGTCTAGTTCCAGAAGCCAGTCTGTTTCCTGAAGCTGAACTTACTCGCTGTCAGGTGCCCAGTCTCCCACTTTGTATCATTCTATTCTACAGACCAGTCTCTTCATAACAGCTTTTGCAGCTGTACTCACTTTCCCATCTGTTCAAGGAGGACGTCTAGAGTATGCAGACTTCATCATCACATGGACAGTCCCTTTTCTGTTTTTATGTTTAATCTTGGAAAAGAGATTTGTGGCAATGGGTCGCCTCGTCTCTGCAATGTAAAACACATTCCTTAAAGACAAATTCGAGTAAATCATAGGCTGAAAAAAAGCCACCATGACGCCTCCTGTCTGTTTGTCAACTCAAGTTTAGCACTGTCACCCTCCCCATCTTGGTTTTGTTAGAACTCAAGCCTAATTTATGTTAAGACATTTGTGTCTCCTCACGTCTTTGGCAGAGTCAAAGATTTTGGGTATGCAACCAGCCCAGTCCAGACGTGCTTGCTTTTGGTTCACCAAGAGTTAGTGCAAAGCCCAACGTTGACTGGCAGAATGCTGATTTGTTGAAGAGTTAATTAAACAGAAAAGTCAGCAAAAGCAGAGATAGGAGCATGAAGATAAGCTCAGTGGGGAAAATGGTTGCAGTGGACAGATTTTACTGTTTTTAACACTCGCTTTCCCTCACTATAATCAAGTTCTTTATCTATGATGACTTCTATGTTCCCTGTGACAGGGGTTAAAACTAAAGAACCAACAACAGCATAAATACGAAAGTAGCCCAGAGATCAGCTGTTATGCGTATTTTGAGAGTGCTGCACAGATGCCAGCCCTTTAAATTAGTAAACAGCATCTATAGTGGCTTTGTTGGCACCCAATCCCTTAAAGTGCCAATGCCCCTAAATGATGAGATTTAAGCCTTAATTTAATTTAAATAGATCAGTTATATAAAACTTTACAACCTTTACAGCTGGCATAAAAGCCACAATTAGGTTTAGAGATGAAAACAGCCTTTTAAACATATTTCTTTGTGGTTTAAAGTTTGGAATTTTAATATCAGGGCTGACTCGCTCTTTCAAGCGAACATCAAGTTGACACTAGAGGAACTGCTGCTTATTATTAAGCACTTGCAATGAAGGGAGCTCGACTTCAGGAAGACGTTTCACGTGTCATCTGAGAGGCTTCTTCAGTTCTAAATACTGATGGAGAGTCCCAGGCATTTAACCCTTCAAGGGGTTTTAATAACTCTGTAGCTGGAACTGAAGATGCTTCTTAAATGAGATGAAACTTCACAATTCTTCAGGTCTTCATGAACCAAAAAGAAGTCCAGCTACCTTCATTGCAAATGCTTAAAATGACCATGACCTAGATGACTGGGAAGCTACACAGACTGGATGACGGGTTTATATTTCAGCCCTGGAAGTTGCCATTGGGTGTTTTCCAGAGCTACACATTTTTAAGATATCTCATTCAACAAAGTTTCTAAATGAAAATGTTTATAGCTTTAGGAAATCCTTCAAAAGGTCAGAAGTCATCACAGAAAGGGGAGAAAGCTACACATTTTCAGTCACTTCAGGAAGAGCAAAGTGATTGGAGCTTAATATTCAGCTCTTTTCTCTCCTCAGCATTTCTTCAGATCGATCTGGCCTTAAAGTGGCACTGTCCGTTTTAGGAAATTTCAGAAATGATCATGCACAGACACCTTCTCTTTCAGCA